CTTGTACTGGCAAATTCACACAAGAATCAGGTTTGGGATCATCTCAGATGAAGTTTCTTTGGAGATCCCTCCAACTGAACTGCTGATCTCAGAACTCCAACCATGAAGAGACTATGTCAGCCAGAGGGTTCTGAATAGGTTTCATTGTGATTGGAATGGTGAGATTGGCAGCAATTCAGACCTGTTGAAATATGAAAACTGCTTCAACAGGACCCTCGGAGCAAGCCCCAGATCAGGGACCTGGGATGGGTGGGAGGCTGGGTGGGACTTTTCCCTTTTTTCCTCCCCTGACCCCAGATACAGGAGAAAAAATGATATTAGTGTGCAAACAATGGTATTACCCACTTTCCTGTAGTCCTTGACTCTTTGTACCCTAATCAACTAAGATTACTTTTAAAAATAAATTAATCAAAAAAACAATTTAAAATCCCACCCCATAACTGTATTATATACAGCAACATATTTTTCAGTGTATGATATTTGAAATTACACATATTCTAAAAGCTATTTAAACATTTCCCCCATCTAATAAAAACCTCTTAAATTTTTGGTTCACTGATTTACACTCTTGATTTAAATCCTTTCACAATTTTAATCACTACGATGCATTAGGTGACTTGTTTGCATTGCTTTTAAATGCCACTCATAAAAATAGAGAAAATATACTTAAAATTACCAAACTTTAAACAACTGACCTGTCTTTCAAAAATCAGAATGGTCTGAATTGAATGATCTGCTCTTCTATGACCATAACTGAGATTTGTCCATTGACGACAAATGGAGTTGTAATGATGTGTTCACTCAGAGTACACTACGTGTCAAACTTTAAAATTACTAAGGTATGATGAGAGAGAACTGCTTATCCCAGCTGGCGGAAGGTGATTAAACCCTGAAACTTATCAGTCATTAATTAAGGGATAGAACCCTAAATCTGTGCTGTTTTATAAATTATAGCAATATTACAGCAAAAATGACCTTTAACACTATAAATCTACATATCCCAGAAGAGTTTCCATATGAACAGGCTAAATCCAATCTCTGGTCATATTAGTTTTAATCACAGAATAAGTATGAAGGTACAAAGTGTTCTAAATACGCTAATCAAAATATCATGATACCTCAAGCCATTGGTAATAAAGATTTCAGTTCCTTTATTTTAGGCAGATGCTGAATATATTATCTACAAATGGTACAGGATCTGCCTGTCTTAAAATGGAAATTCCACAAGGAATAATAACAAAACAATACTGTCAGGATCCTGGGAAGGAGGAAATTCCCTTCTGATCATATCTGCAAGCACTTCCAGATCAACCTCTGTGTCATGTCCCTTCCCATATTCTTCCACAGATCCAACTTAATGAGGTGCTGAGACGTAGCAAGCATTCCAACATCAGCAGAATAGGTGACAGCTAGTAAAGACATTTATACAAACCATTTTAAATACAGTTTTGTTTTTTATTCAGGATGTCCAAAAAAAAAAAAAAACAGGCACAACATATATCTCCAAGACATAAACTCTGTCCTCATTTAGCAGTTTGCACACATTTCGTAGCCCCACAGACTATGTTATACATGAGCAAAATTCTGAACTGCTGTATTAAACTTTGTCTTCCCATTTGCAGAAAGCAAATGACACACATTGAGATAATACACACATATACAGGTGCTTATACAGCATGTGTAAAACACAATACAGACTGTATTTCTACAGATACATGCTACAGGTACATTAATCATCAGAGGTGGAGGAGACGATTGTTCACCTACCAGAATAGGCTGCAATACAAATGTGAATGGTCTATCCACTATTATTTGACATCTATGGTAAAATATATAGTATATTTCATATGACTTAATATAATATCCCTATTCTTTAACAATGTCCCTTCATGCATCTATCACATTCCTCAATCATTTTCACATTCCAATCAACCATGTCCTAATAAAATTTAATTTAAAATTACCAACGTGGGAAGCACAAGAGAAAGTGTCTACTTCCCACTGGTTAGCAGACAAATCTCTATGATTTCTAGGATGTGACTCCAGAAACAGAGAGCATTCTTTTAATTAAGATTCCCTTAGAAGCCAACCTTGAGTTATCACTGGAACAGAGACAGTTCATTTGGGAACTGAACCAGAAAATATCTACATCAGAGGGAACGGTTAGAAGCTGATAAAGCTCTAGGATTGAGTCAGTTGCTTCTGTACGCAACTGAACCTCAGGTTCCCTGGACACAGGGCATACATACGTATTCCAACCAAGAAGCCGAGAAGCCATGGTGTTGATTCAACAGCACCCTATTTAATCAGCGACACTCAACTCATTCTCCATTCAGGTCTAGTGTTTCTCTGAAGTTTAGTAAAGGTGAGGTGAGATTACATGCTGGGGGAACCTCAGGCAGAAGGTTCTCACAGAAACCAGCCTGTGGATTACTTCCAGAGCACCAATTCATCTGTTGATGGAAAGAACTGAACTATTATTCCCTTAAGAAACAGTGCTTCTTCCCCAACTCTACAGGAATTGAATCCAAGAAGATAACTGAATAGAATGAGATTGCCACTCAGGCTTAATTGCTAAGAGGAATCTGTGATCAAATTAAAGACAAAAAGAGATGACTTTACTTACTGCATATTAGTTTAGACTCCTACAAGTAAAAGAATTGCAAACTGCAAACTGGAAGTGAAGAGCAACTGCTATTCAGAGAGCCCCTAAACTCTGCTAGGAGTTATAAAATCATCCTTAAAAGTTAAAAAAAAAAAGAAAATCAGTGGAAAGAATTTGAGTTTTTCTTTCCTAAAGAGTTTCTTGAGGTATTTGAGTCATAAAAAATTCAGCTCAAGATCATCCTTACACAGATGAGATATACTGCCCAAGAGAGGGTGTTTGGTTTTCCAGAGTTAGTTCCTGGTCCCTAAAATAAGATCTACCCTTCAGAGTCCACGTGATGACTGAGCTAACCCAAGCACATGCCAAGTGCCAGGCAGTGCTCAGTGCCAACCAAGTCCTAATCCTTACCTCTCCATCCTCCCACTATTTACAATTCTATGCAGGAGACATTTATGAGGCAGATATTCCCATTATAAAAATATAATTATCGAATCTCTAAATGGCTGGATGGCGTGTCCCAGTTCCTCCAGCCAGTAGCAGAAGAAGCAGAGGGCTAGAGTCTGGTTATATCAGGTTTTGAGGCTAGTGCCTTCAAAGATTAACAACTAACAGAACCCAGACCAAATACATTTGGCATGAATTCACAAACCCACTCAGATATTTGAAAATGAGTGAATATAGTAAAATACTGAATACTTTAATGGCTTAGATTTTTATGTTAATGTTGCACTAGCACACACCTTAATTATAATTAGCAGAAATTTTAAGTACCCGGGCAAAAGTTTTAAAAATATAGCCATGACTCACTTGGATAGTATTCAACTAACCAAAAATTCCGAATTGCTAAAATATCTTTGTAGCAGCCTAAGAAAAATGAAGGCAAAGACAGCTACCATCCTGTGGAGGATATGTTCACGAAGCGGCAGCACCATCATCATGTGTAAAGCATTCCCTTTAGACATTCAAGCATTCACACACTTTCCACAATAAAGATTTCTATCCTACATAACGACCCCAAAGCCCTGACATAAATATACAGCCAATCCCCAGGAACACAGAGGTACACTTGACAAGCAATGAAACTGAGCCATAGCTGATCCAAATGTCAACTGCCATTACACACATGGCAGAGTGTGTGTGTGTGTGTGTGTGTGTGTGTGTGTGTGTGTGTGTGTGTGTCTGAACAGAAGAGCGTGAACTCAAACGCCCTCCTATGCAAAACACCCCAAGTCCCCTGAATCACTAACAGGAGGACAAAAACCACATCCACAATTGCTGCTCTAGTAAAGTCCCAGAATGTGGGCACAGGGGTCGGTCCCGAATACTGAATGGGTGAGGCAGCAGAGGCTTATTTCCCAGTGGTGGATGAGGAGAGCTTTTTAGAGTGGATCAATAATGAACATTTATGCAATTAAAGAAAAGAGTACTATCAAACAGAACTTCAAGGAAACATTTCAAATGAATTTGGTAACACCCTTTATTTGAAAACAAGGAAATGTGGCATGTGATACAGAAATGACTACTCCAGAACTGACTAAATTCAAGGACACAAAAATAGGCTTTAAAGGGAGGGGAGGGAGGGAGTGAGGGAAAGAGGAAGAGAGAGAAAGAGAGACAGAGACAAGATTGTCAGAAAAATTTCAGAAGTTTACTGCAAAAGTGGGATGCTGTGAATACATGCCTATGGGAACAATAAATGTCCCAGTCTTGAAACTTAGTTTTAATGCTGAGAGGTGTACAATTTTATAGGAAAAACTTCTAATTATGGAAACGATGCATCACACTTGTCAATGGTGGGGCAATAAAGCTCACAGTCACCTGTTCAGGTACTTCCTGTGGCAAGGAGTGTCATTTTCACTAACTACCTGTTACATATTGAAACCAACAATCTACCTGAAACTCCAAATGTTTGCATAAATTTCCTAGTGGCAAGCAGGGGCATCTAATCTGGGCAACGCTAACAGGGAGGACAGCAGGTGGTGCAGGGGAGCTTAATTCTCTAACCTGCGTTTTCCAATCAACTTGGGTAGGTCTTCCAGTTTGATTAACCACACCTAAGGACGAGGGGGCATGAATGAACATCAGTGAGCATTGACTCGCTTGCCACGTTTATGCACGTTGCACCTGACACCTGCCTTGCACACGCACACACACACACACACACACACACGGAAAACAGACAAAGGACAAGCGCCGAACACAGGATTCCAGGCGAGAAGAAAAAGTGGAAAGCACTGGAGTTCCCCACCCGTAACAACTGCTCCATCCATCAAAATGGAGAGGCAGCGCCACACCACAGTCCCCTGGCGCTCCCTCGCCGCCTGCCATCGCTTTCCCGCCGGCGCCCCGAGCTCCCGGGCTCCGGGGAGCAGCACCCCACCGCGGCGCTCACCTGTCGTCGTTCTGCCATCCTTGGTCCCCTAGCAGCAAATCGCGAAACCGGTACCTGGGAGGCAGGGGGGGCACTTCGCTCTCCAGATCGACCATCCTTCAGAGCCCGGGGGACATGAGACAGCAGCGGGGAGAGCGGGAGCAGCTGCCGGCGCCGCCGGGGACGAGGCAGGGAAGGGGGCCTAGGGCAGCGGGGGGCTCCGCGGGGAGGGGGATCGGCTTCGAGCCGGAAGCCGAGGCTGGCGAGTGAGGCTGGCTCGTCTTTCCTGAGGGTGCGATGGGGGATGATGCAAACCCAGCCCAGGAGCAAAAAGTCTGGCTCCGAGGAGAGCCGGCGGCGCCAGGGGACCGCCCCCTGCCTCGGCGCCGCCTCTGGTACCCTGGACCCGGGAGGCGGGCACGGAGGAGGCGGGAACGCAAAAGTTACTTCGCGAGGGGAAACCGCGCGGGGCCCCCGACTCGCGTCAAGGTGGGAGCGGCCGCCGCGGGCGGGGGCGCGGGAAGAAGAGCTTGCTCCGGGAGGCCGGCGGAAGGCGCTGGCCGCCGACCCCAGCAGCGACCCCGCGGCGGCCTCGCCCGTCCGCTACGCCTCGCCCGCCTCGCCCGCGGGCCCGGTGCTGAGGGCGGTGGGATCCCGCCTCGACCAGGCCGCCCTCCGGCGCCGGAGCGGGAGGCCCAGCCAATGGGGCGCCCCCTCATTAGCATAACGCCGTGACGGCGCGGGGGAGCCTCGAGGATGACCAATGGGGGCGAGCCCCGGAGCGGGTCCCGCGAGCCCGCCGACCCCTGCGCCGCGCGGCGAGGCTGAGGTGAGGCGGGAGCGCCCGGCGTGGGTGGTGGCGGCGGCTGCGGCGCGGCGTGGGCGGGAAGGGGCGTGCGCGTGCCTGCTGAGGGAATCCCCGCGCTCTGCCTCAGGAAAGCCGCGCTTCTCCTCGCGTTCCTGGAAGAGGGGTTTCCCCGCTCGCGGGGCCGCGTGGAGCGAGCGGCTGAGGAGAAGCGTGGAGACAGAGCCCATGTAGGTGATGGCAAGGCACGCTCGGAGCCACGGAGGGTGACATGTTTGGGAATGACGGTTCCCACAGGCAGCGAGGGGCTCCCCGGGGGTCTCACGAGTGCCAGGCGCCAGGAGAGGCCACTGTCCCTCAGGGTTCCCGTACCTCGTTCACGGCTGATGGACCTATCCACGGGCTCAGGAGACGTCCCAGTGGCACCGCGCACCTGGGGAGCCACGAAAGTTCTTAGAAAAAAGAGACAGAGAGAAAAATGATTAAAAGATGAACTTACTGTAGAATCCATATAAGTGAACAAGCCTGCCAAAATCTCATTGAAAACGTATGTTATAAAAACTATAAATGGCATGCCAATGGGAACCAGGGTAGGGGGCAGGCCTGGTAGGGGTTTTGGGGAGTCAACCCAACTAGGCTGAGCTCCCACTGGTTGGCCTGAGGACCAAATATGAAGTGGGCAGGATAGAGCTGGACTGCAACACCCATTCGTTCAAGTGGATAACAGGGATGAAAACAGAACTGATCCAGCAATTGCAACAACCAGCATGTGCATAAACTGATTGGAGCGACGGACTATGCCAGACCTTGTACTGGCAAATTCACACAAGAATCAGGTTTGGGATCATCTCAGATGAAGTTTCTTTGGAGATCCCTCCAACTGAACTGCTGATCTCAGAACTCCAACCATGAAGAGACTATGTCAGCCAGAGGGTTCTGAATAGGTTTCATCGTGATTGGAATGGTGAGATTGGCAGCAATTCAGACCTGTTGAAATTGCTTGAGCAGGACCCTCGGAGCATGCCCCAGATCAGGGACCTGGGATGGGTGGGAGGCTGGGTGGGACTTTTCCCTTTTTTCCTCCCCTGACCCCAGATACAGGAGAAAAAATGATATTAGTGTGGAAACGATAGTATTACCCACTTTCCTGTAGTCCTTGACTCTTTGTACCCTAATCAACTATGGTTATTTAAAAAAATAATTAATTGAAAGAAAGAAAATGTATGTTATAAGAAACGACAAATGGTGCACTTTTGTTGTTGGGCACCAAACTAAATTTAAAATTATATAGTAAATCCAGAAAGTCCCCTCGCAGGAACCCCTGACTCCCACCCTCACTTGGGGGTCACAAGGTTTGCTCAAAGCCGGGACATTATATGACACGGTAATCAATAATAAAAGCTTCAGTGGAGAGATTTAGAAAGGTCTGTGGGAAGTCACGGGTGGGGTCAAAAAGACCATGCAGCTGAAAGAAGCCTCTTCCACATCCAAGAGAAGGAAATAGGAAACCACCACAGAGAGTGACTGAGGGGAGCCCAGTGGATTTGCTCAGATCTCTTTTATTCAGGAAATGACCATTAATTCGATACCACTGATTCTTGGTAGAGGTCTTGTAACAGAGGGTTTGCAAAGTTGCAAAGAGAAATCACCAAAAAGTGAAATATCAGATGGGAATAGTCGTCCTCTTTGTCGTCAGAAGGCTTCCCATTCACAGATCCATAGCAAGTGATATGTTCAGTGCTGCATGGCCAAGTCTTCCGCTTGATTGAAACACCCTTCCCTTCCTAACACTCCTCACCTCCTCACTCCCCGTGAAGGATCTGCTTATTATAGCCTTACTGTACTCTGATCTGGCTTGTTATTTGTGTGTTTCTGTTACATCATTTCTGCTTTCTGTGCCTCCTCTTCCCAGAACACTGCTTTCAAAATACTAAACTCTTGACAACTGTGCATTGCAAATGTAATAAAGGCTATTGAATCTAGGAAATTCTCACATTTTCTTCTAGCTCAAGAGGATTTGTTTTTATAAAAATCATTAGATTGAGCTCTGTAATCACTTTCCAAATGAGAATTTTTAATTAGGATTTTTTATTATTATTTAAATTTAATACGAAAAGCAGATTTCCAGAGAGAAGGAGAGACAAAGATCCTCCATCCACTGAATCACTCCTCAAATGACCACAATGGTCAGAACTAAGCTGATCTGGCACCAGTAGCTTCTTCTGGGTCTCCCATGTGGGTGCAGAGTCCCAAGGACTTTGATCAACTTCTACTACTTTCCCAAGCCACAAGCAGGGAGCTTGATGGAAGTTAAGCAGCCCAGGGCACGAATCCATAAGGAATGAAGCCCTTGAAGACAAAATATTAGGCAGTTGAGCCAATGTGCCAGCCCCACCAAATGAGAAAACTACTTAGTTATAGTGTGAGTTCGTCCAGCTAACTAAAGAGAGAACATCTGGCTTATGTTTTTCACCTTACTGTCTGCTATTAGCAGGTTCTGAAATTTACCTTTAATGTTCTATTGTTTAGAATTAATTATTATTAATTATTATTAAAGCCTTTCAAACAGTTCTATGTCAGTCACAGACCCAGAGAAGTATACTAAAAAATAATAATAATAATTGAAAGAAGTAATTTTTTTGCAAAAAAAAAAAATTGAGTGGTAGATTCCTGAGATTCTAGGGGTCAGATAGTAAAGCAATAACATCTTGCTTAAACAGAAAGCTGTTCAGCTTTATTTTACATCAATGTGACAGTCTTAGTCCTTTGTCTCCTATGTGCCCCAAGATGTTAAAAAGATAAACAAAATTAATCCTGCTCAGTGTTGTTCAAGCCATTAAGGACAGTTGTTACAAAGTGTTTTGACGTGGGCCTAGTGCAATAGTCTAGCTGCTAAAGTCTCACCTTGAACCCTTGAACGCGCCAGGATCCCATATGGGCACCACTTCTAACCCCAGCAGCCACTTCCAGCTCCCTGTTTGTGGCCTGGGAAAGCAGTCAAGGATGGTTCAAAGCCTTGGGACTCTGCACCCATGTGGGAGACTCAGAAGAAGCTCCAGGCTCCTAGCTTTGGATCAGAGCAGCTCTGGCTGTTGTGGCCACTTGGGGGGTGAATGAACGGATGGAAAAACATTCTCTCTGTCTCTCCTCCTCTCTGTATATGACTTTGCAATTAAAAAAAATAATAAAAAAAACTTTAAACTTTTTTTAGAAGCAAAGTATCTTAACATGCTAAGTCAAGCTAGTTGGAAACCACTGAACTGTTGATATATTGATTTTGGGGGTGCCATAAATTTGTTGTCAATGTAAAAAGTCATAAAATTCTAAACTTCAAAAACTTTATAGAGTAAGAGACACTGCCCTTGTCTTCTTAAAATACACCAATATTTGTTCATTGAAGCTTAAATATATATTTGGCAGATCTTTTCGCTCTACTTTATAGTTTTTTTAGTCTTCTCCATACATTTTCTATTTCACCATTAATTTTGACTTCCACTTTGCCCACCTATCTTTCTACTTCTATTCTTTTCTCCCTTGTCATGTCATGGCATTCCCTGCTGCTAAAATACATTTTCCTCTTTCACTCTTTTACCTTGGTTTGCTTTTTCCACTGTGTGCTTTTAATCTTCCTGTCTTATAGAGTCCTTTTCTCTCTGCATGTATGAAAGCTTTTATTCTACTATAGCAGGAGCTTCAGATTTTTTGGACCAAACTCCAAACTTGGATCTGCACGTTGCAATTTTGTATCTTAACTGCTGGTTTTCTCAAGTTTTCTAATGAACATTCAGCATAATTGGAGAGGATAGAGGACATCAGTTCCATCCTAACAAGACAGTTTGCCAGAATCTTCTGAATGGCTATGATGATGAAGGAAACAGCAAGCAATGAGAGTAAGGATTAAAAAGAAACATTCTGTTTTTAGCAATTTTATTATTTTCCAGAGAGCACATTTGAAGATATCTTCCCATTAACAGAAAATATTCCTGAAAAAAATCTTTGATTCTTTGGATGCATTGATCAATTAGCAGCTTGTTTAGACATAAAAAGGAAAGACTGATTTCCATATTGTCAGCAGTTAACAATCAGTTGACAGCTATCTCGTGCTGAATGAACATAATTGCATAGACTATGACATGCTTTTACACCAAAGCAAAAAGAATATGTATATTCTATGCATCATTTTTGAACAAAGTTATGCAAACTGTTAAGGATTATGTCTACATAGCCCTATAACAGCTGTTCAGAAAGGAAACACAAGAAGAAAATTTAAAAAAAAGAAAGAAAGAAACTGTGTATCTGTTGATTTCCCTA